AAAATTAAAAGAATAAAATGTTTTCATTTTTTGTATTTACATATGACTCCTGTGAAAAGTATTATAAACCTGTTACAGTACAGTGCTATACAGTCTATTGTGTTACTTGAGCACTTAGGCTAACTTTGTTGGACTTATGAATGTGCTCTTGGAATAGAACTTTTTCATATGTAGGGAACATGCTGTATATACCTGTGTGTGTGTGTGTGTGTGTGTGTGTGTGTGTGTGTGTGTGTGTGTGTGTGTGTACGTGCGCACATGTGCATAATTTTACTTTACTTCCAAATAGTAAAAATATACTTAGACATATTTAAATGGGAGTACTTAACTTGTGGCATCTTGGATTAATTATGTCCTAAAATTTATTACATTTAAGAATTGCGATTTTTTGTTTATTTGTCTTCATTTCCAAGTGATATCTAGGAGAGACAGGTCAGTTCTGTTTTCTCACTCTCTTTGAGCCATCTATGTTTATTAGCAATGTCATTCCCAGAGCAGACTCATAATAAATATATGTTGAATAAAGAAGTGATCCTGCATAATAATGGTTTTATCATATTTTAAAATGGGAAAGTAAAATACTTGTGATGAGTTTTGTAGCAGTTTTCTTGCTGTGATAATATTTTTAAAAACCAAACATAATTCATGAAAATAAATAAAGGAAGATAACGGAGAAAACAGGCATTCTGACCATTAGCAATTGTGCATTCTTATGGGATACCACAAATTGTGACTAAAAAAAGCAGTTATTCAAATAATTATTTTAAATGCTATACATTGCTCCAAAATGAAAATTTCTAATATTTGCTCATTTTCTTGAGTCACTATCATAGAATTAAAAGAGAGAAGGCCTTATTTGTTTCATTTTTGTTATGTTTTATTTTTTGAGGAAAACACCAGCTAATGAATCACTGCTGTCTAAGAAAAAGTTTGTCAATTTACAAGTCATAAATTAAATGTTTTATCCACACTTGAATATTTGTACTATCATTTCAATTTTTTTTTAGGAAATTTAGAAATCAGTTAAATACAGTGTCTTGTGTAAAAGGACAGATATTCAATAATTTATGATCATGTCTTATTCCTTCACCTCCTGCTACAAATCTAAATGTAGAAATGTGCTCTCAAATAGTATTTTTACTGAAAAGGCATCTTAAAAATAATTCATTTTAAGTGCACATGTAAGGCAAAAATAACATATACCTTATCCTTCAGGGATTGAAATGCAGTTATTTTTGGGTGAGGGGTGTGTGTGTGTGTGTGTGTGTGTGTGTGTGTGTGTGTGTCTTAGTAGATTGTTTTTCATCATTATTATACAGTATTATTTGTTTTTATATTATTATTATCAAAGAGTGAAAATTCTTACACATATATGAAGGAGGGGCAGAGAGAGAGATCATTTTTCTATTTTAATCTTTTACTTAATGCTATCTTAAAATCTTTCCTCCTTTGTTAATGGAGACATGGGCATAATGTATGGCATTTGGATCTATAAAATATTCCAATCAAATATCCCAGAGATTGTACCATAATTTATTAAACCAGTCTTCTATTTTTAACAGTTTTCTATTTTTCATTTAAAAAAGTTAGTGATAGCAAATGAAGAAATATCTTTGTGATTTTTAAATTATTTTTTGGTAACTACATTTTTTATTAGAACTTGTACAATTCAGACCAAATAGAAATTTTTATTTCTTATATATTCACTTCTCTACAAAAATTCTGCCTTTCAGACAGTAGGGATATAAGGGTTTACACATAAATGTTTTTTCAGTGTAGAGGAGAGACTCGCTTTCTTTGTTTAATTATTATATTATCTTTGCCACTCCTTTATTTTATCTCTCTTTGAATATCTTTATATATGACTATTAAATTTTTGATTAGTATTCCAAAGTTATCTTGTATTTTATCTTATAATTTCCATCCAAATATATTTGTTCTATTAAGTTTGAAAATGTCTTTGATATACTCTGTTCATTAAGTAATTTTGCTTCTGGTAAATCCATGCTGCCATTGCCCCCCAATTTTAATTTAAAATTCTGTACTTATTATTATTAATAAGTTCTTCTTCTCAGATGTTTCATTCTTTTAATAAAACTCCGATCAAAAAAATATTAATGCTTTTTGTCAAAATTAATGTACTAAAATTACTTTTTCTGGAAACTATATTTCTTGATTGATTAGTGTGGCCACCCTCCTAAACATCTAAGGTTTTAGTTTTACTTGTGGTTAAAAGTTTTCATTACGAAGTAGACTCTTTCCAGAGACATAAATTTTTTAAAAATTGTTGATTTATTGGAAATCCAAAGGTGTTTGGAATGGGAAAGTAATGGGATTAATAATTCAAGCTGCTTGTAGGTCGTTCCTTAGCAGTGCATTCTTTCCTACCTTCCTCATCAGTAAAAGCAAACTTAATGAATACAGCATCATTGGATTTCTGATCCCTTAATATGTGATCTATAGCACTAATTACACTGAATTAGAGTTCATGGAATGATTGTATACACACATTAGATGGTGAACTCAGTGAAGACAAGGATTCTGTCCCCACTAACTTTTTGTCTCTTCTTTGCATAACAGCCGAGAATGGCTGTGTCGAAGTGTTTATCGCTTTTTCAAATTTTATTAGAATGCAATTTTGTCATTGAACTGTTAACAAACATTGTGATTTATGACAAAATGTTAAGAATAATAGAAGACTGCAAAATGTTCTTATATGTTTTCTCAAAATGCTTCAGAATTTTCCGGAAAAGTCAGATTTCCACTGGTCTTCAGAGAACCCAAACAGGCCAATTTTGATACATTGTTTATTACTGTACCATTTTCTGGACAGATAACATATTTAGTTGTTACCCAGCAGAACTGGAAAAATTTAATGCTAATATTATTAATTAAATAATATGTTTACTATTGGTTTTCAAATATTAATTATTTCACAAGAAGTTTGGACTATACTTGAAAATTGGACATTGCTGGATGAAAATTCACTACTGTTTTTTTCAAAAATCATTACATTTTTTTCAAAAATCATTACATTAAACCCAGTATAAGATATTTTATAAATGAGTCAAATATTAGTGCTGTATTAGCGCTAACGTGAGACGCGTACGTGAATAAGCAATGTCAATGCAAGAAAGAGGTACCAGAAAAATAATAAAACAGCAGGTTTATAAGATTACATACTTCAGATTTTTAATAATAACTTCTCTTGCGTGTCAGTCAATTAACACGTGTGCTGGTAATACTTTTATTGGGGAATAGAGAAGAAATGAAAAATAGAGTAAAAGATTGTTAAGCCCTATATACTTACAACCTAAGTATATAGGGCTTAAGTCCTTGGCCCTGTGAGAGCTGAGCTATATGAACTTAAACAATCAAACAAACAAAATCCCTTATCTGAAGTATATTATGGAATATACTTACTTTGGGCAATTTTTAGAAATATAATGAAATAAGTGAGATAATGTTTTTGGATCCATTTGAACAATGGTGAATTTATATATATGGTAAAATTACATACATACATACACATTGAGAAAAGATAGAGGTAAGGTTGTTCTACTGTCACTATTTCATTCCATCAAAATACTTTTCTCAATTTTATATGGCTTCTTAAAACTAGCACATGTTTAAAATGAATATTAATAGAATCTTCAGGAAATATAAACGCTACAATGCTTGGTATAAGCCATCATTTTGTGACACAGTTTCTTTAAGAAATAGAAACTTCTGATGCTTAATGCATCATGAAAAGCAGAATTACTAAAAGCAATCATTATCTTGCCTAAGAAAAGTAGCTTTTAAAATAGGAAATCAACATCTAGAGATGTTTTAAAATCCTCTTCATACTAGCAATCAAAATCAGTTTTCCTTTATAAAATAGAAAAGCCTTAAGGAATGCACCAATGAATATATTTGGCACATGAAATGATAAATCAGTTGGTTGGGGTTATAAAATTGTTATGAATATGTATTTGGTGTCAATCAAATAAATATCACAAAACTTTGGTACTGCAAAATTTGCTGCTTTCTGATGTAACATATACTGACATGTGATACAAGAAATAGATTGCTTTCCTTTTTATAGACAATTTTCTTGATTCTCTTGCTTCTTTTTACTGTTATTGTGACACTACTTCATCATTGTCTTAATTTCAGTGTTTGCTTACCAAAATTATGCATCTCACAAGCTTAGTGAGGTTCAAAGTCAGTTCAAGTTTAGTTTTCTAATATGTGCCAGTTAATTAGTTCACTGTCAACAATAAGATAGATGTTTCCTTCCAAATTCATGTCTCTATTTCCCACCCCGTCACTCTACTCACTATCAAAAAAATAGAGCAAATGCTGAATCGATTTCTTTTTTCAATTTTTATACATAAACTGGGCAGTCAAGTACAGTATAGATAAATACACTGCAGTTTTCGTGTATATTTTATTATAGTTATATTTTTATTGTCTTTAATATTTTATTATAGTTATATTTTTATTGTCTTTATTAGTATATAAAAATCTATTGTTTGCTGGAATTAATGTGTTTTTTATTTTTATAGAAATATAAGCTATATATATTCTAAGATAAGAAATAATTTAATACATTTGATAAATATTCCAAATTTGAAACAATCTTCAGCAAATGAGTTTAGTCTCACTTCTATAGATTTTTTATATTAGACAGTATGCCCTATATATCTTAAATAAGTTTCAAGTGATAGAAAAATAATAATAATTTGAACAGGACCATGGTATCTTATTATGTTAACCTTATTGAATCACAAGGCAAAGAATATTACATAGACATTTTAAGATGAACATGGCAAAAGATGGTAAGATAGACAAGATAGAGAAACAGAAGGCACAAGCCAAGAAAGGTATGAAAGTTGGGTCCCATCAACTTTCCTATAATGAATGATTTTAGAAATTAACTGTTTGTTTTGTACAAATATATACTAAAAACCATTTCAAGAAGATATTTACCATTTTTTATTACTTCCTTTTTCTAGTATGTATGCACCCCAAGGAGCACAAAACATCCATGTTGGTTCGTAAGGAATATTTACTTAATTCATCAGTACTCCAGCGACTGTGGAGACACTTGCCATGATATTTGCCAAGGTAAAGTTCCTTCTCAGTTTGAATATCTGTTGCAATTGGGATTTAGAGGTCATGAATTTATTGAAAACATTTCACATCTGCTTAAATGACTTCAAAATGTACTAGATAAATGTTTATTCACTAATAAAAGTATTTTATATCCCCAAACAACATAAAATAATAATAAAATTAATTCTCATACCCTGATTTGTTATTTTAAGTGATGTTCAATACTAGCTACATTCTAGAAAGTATGCTTGGTGCAAGATATATAAGGGTGAAGAAAACTAGAACTATACCCTTCTCTCATGGATCTGTTGTTGAAGGGAACAAGTTGGAGAAATACCAAAATAAATATATAATTCCATTTCAAATCAATCAATTTTATGGAAACAAGTAGCATTCCATAAATGCTTATAAGCAAGTAACTATGTTTAGGGAAAAGACAAAGAGCAATTGGGAGATTAATTGGCAGGTCAGAAAAGGTTTCCACGAGAAAATGAACCTTGAAGAGAGATGTAGAGAATGACCTCAGCAGAGAAGTTGGAGAAGAAATGATTCTGGATCCTTTGAAGGCCTGATTGGAACCTTGGGAAAAGAGTAATAAGGTCTGGGTGGGAGTAATGTCAGAACTAAGGTGCCAGGCTAAATACTTTGATTTTTATTTTTTTAAAAATAGAATATTGCAGTAGAGTTTGAAGTATTAAAAAAACATTTAAAGAAAGTGGAGGGCAAACTTCTCGGGTCCCCTCCCACTGGGAGCTTTTCTGTCCTCTTAATAAACCCACTTTCCTCAAAAAAAAAAGAAAGAAAAAAAGCAGAGGATAGATTAAAGAGGAGTAAAAAGGTAGGAGGTTGGTTGGAGTCATAATATGAGGTGACAAAAACTTAAAATAATGAAAGTTCTTGTTTATGGATTGGAAATACAAGACAAGTGTTAGAGGTGTCTACAAGATTCCTACTTTTTGGGCTTAAACACTTGAAATAAATGTATTCCAACACACACACAAACGCGCATGTGCACAAGTGCGCACACACACACACACACACACACACACACACAATACATAATTGTTTTAATGAATGTTAATTTGTATCTCATAATCCATCTTGATGGGCACAATTTTCTGTTCTTTGGTTATATTTTAAACATGGACTTAACTATTGCAAATTTGATTTGCATTTTTAAAACTGTATGGTATTTTCCTTCTTTTAAAGAATATTTCCTCTGACAATGATATTGTGGCACTATAGTTTATAAAAAACTAGTACATTAGTAGATTTGTGTGTGCATTCCCAACAGCTTATTTTATTTAACTGACAGCAGCCATATTTATAAGATTATATTACATTAGAACAGTGTTGAAATAAACTAACAATTAGTCTTTTAAATGGAAAACATGGTAATTTATTTCACCATGCTCAAAAAATAGTATTCTGGAGAGTTAACCTCTAATGACAGAAATAGTTATCAGTTCATTAAGCAAATCACACTCAAGACCAAGGGTGGAAGAAGA